CCCGAGCCCTAACAAGGCAGCAGGGAGCCTCGGGACGCCTCCTGGTCTCTGGCAACAGGAAAATTGATCAGCTGTGACCCCCAACAACATAAGGAGTGGAACGGGAGCTAAAGCTGAATTTTTGGGAAATCCACGGGGATATGACCGGGGCTCTCCCCCGGCGGTGGGAAACAGCCGAGAGAGTGCAGACCAGGAGGGACGAGACTCCCAAGTCAGGCAGCACCCAGACGGGGCCAACCGAGGCCAGGAGGGGCCAAGTGGGGCCAGCAGGGGCCATCCGGGGCCACCGCCCCGCAGGGAGCTGGGGCTGACGGGCTTTGGGGCGCTGAGCCCCGCGGGCGGGGAGCGGGCGCCGCTGGCCGCAGCAGTCCGCGGGCGGTCACCGACGGGGCGGACAGGGCTCCCCGCCCTCTGGGGAGGGACAAGCCCCTCCTCGGAGGCACCAGCAGCTCCTGGCCACTGCGACTTCCTCGTCGCAGCCGTGATAGATGGGGAGCTGATGCCCGGGGTTCTTTATGCAAGGGGCGGCTGTGTGACTGCCAGGGACATTTGACTTCCTGTGCTCAGGCTCCTTGAAATTCTCATTTGCTAACTCACACCCTGCTCCCTTCACACCAGAGCTGTTTTATTGTTTTATAACCCTCCTTAAACTTCCAGTCCTCAAAGATCTCATTGTGGCAGGCTTCACACTTTCTCCCTTCCCAAAACCCAGTGCCCTCGCTGCTTGCAGCAGTTTGGTCGCTTGCAAACGTCCGGCGGGCGCCTGGCGAGCCCGCAGCCCTTGGCACCGCTCCCTCGAGCAAAGCGCAGGAGGTGAATGAGTCAAAACCGTTTTCCAGGGTCTCCTGAAAAAAATGTCGTACAGGTCCGGGGAAGGCAGAGGGACCCCCTGTACCCCGACCTAACACCGCGCTTTGTCCCGCCGGTGTGCCTCCCTGTCCCCTCAGAGATGCGAAGGGATGCAGGGAAGGGCTTGAAGTGGTACCCACGGCGAAATGCGGCTGCTCCTCTCTGAAGAGCAATTTGGGAGCGCTCAGTCCCCTCTTGGCAGCTTTCCCTGCAAGATGCTCGTTAAAAAGGCCGGCATAACGCCACGGAGCTGACCTTCCGCCCATCCCCGCTACCCTGAGCCAGTCCCGCTTTCCAGAGCAGATTCAGCGGACCTTTATTTAGCGAATAAAAGTTTAAAGCTGAAGGTTATTTATGGTTCCGCGGAGATAGGTCCTGAGTGGCTATTTAGAAGCACGTGATTCCAATAAACTTTGTTTTATGGCTTGAGAGTTGACAAGCCAAAATATAATTCCCACCATAAATTAGTTTAAGAGCATACAAGTGCAGATGCTTTCGTTCCTGGAAGCAGTAATCGGGGAAGTGTTAGCAGGGAGCCGTCTGCGGGAATGCGGCCGTGCAGGCACCCCCGCTCCCCGGTCCCCCCAGCCCCGGGGAGAGCGCGCAGTAAGTCCTCTACAGCCTTCCTTCGGCCCGAGTCGCTCCGGTGTCTTTGTGCCTCTGGGAACAGGGCGAGCGAGCGAGGTCCAAACGCTGCTTCGCCCGGAAAGCCTTGCCCGAGCCTTGCGCTGGGCAAACAGACAGGTAGAGCTCGAGGGGCCGGGGCTGTGCTGGCATTAGCTGGCTGCGCCCTGGCTGAGGTTTCCGAGTGTGGTGAAGCATCTTATTCGAAACTAACCTGGAAAAAAAAAAAAGACAAAAACAAAACAAAACAAAAAGAAAGAGAAAAGAAAGGGAACGGAACAGTAGGGTAATGCTCAGAGCCGAATGGCCGATATTGTTCCACTGCTCTCGCCGTGCTATCCAGAGTGCACAAAACTAAAAATATATTAAAAACCAAAAACTGTCTTGGGAAGCTCTATCTAGTGAGCTGTTGATACCTAAGCTATTGCTCTGTGTGTAATACAACTCTCCAAGGTATGGTAGAAAGGCAATAGAAGAAGTGAAAAATCGCTTAGAGGATAAAAAAAATCACAAAACAACATTGGCGTTTTACTGTTAAATATGCAATGCTTTTCAGGAGCATTAGACTGAATATGTGTTGTTTTCCTTAATGTGAGCTTTGAATGTATTTCTTAAAAGATGTGAAGGAAAGTTCAAGTCAAATTTGTCCTCCTATAATGCAAACAAAGACGCATGTCTCGAGTTTACCGTTTGGATAATTGTGTGATCTTAAAGGGCTACTCTTATCTCAGAGTAGTACGAGATTTATTCCTATAAAACCGTCGTTCTTTTTGTTCTTAGCTTGCATACAATGCTGTATTGCATATTGTGACATTTTCTGGGTGATGTTTTAGCGTAGGTGATCTGAATATTTCATTTGTAAGTGACTGAATTGCCACAGAACAAAAAAAAAGGCCTTTGTTATTCTTTTTTTTTTTTTTTTTTTTTTTTTCCTTCAGTGAAAGAGGGAGGTCTGACTTTTCATCCCTTTGGAAATTATGTGGTATAAAATCTAGACTATGAATATTAAAAGTGAAAGATCACACCCCAGGCACAGGGAAAGCATGTATTCATAAAAACTGTCTGAATGCAATGTGGTCCTCATTCGGAAGGGGCTTCCACCCCATCACTCCGCTGCTCGCAGGATTTACCACCAGCTCCTCTCTGCCTTCATCTATCAAATGTGTTCTGTAACTGTTCTGGAGCAATATCACCCGTATGTGGAATACAACAGTAACAAACATTTTTATTGCAACAGGTTCGGCAACATGGAAGGACACCCACGGTAAGTAGCCTCTTATTTCTTGCAGAATTGGAGTTGGTTGGAAATGCTGTTTCTTCCCCTCGGACCGGAACAATTAAACGCGAGGTATCCCCGCTGAACGTTGCCGCAAGCAATCGAACAGAGAGGGCTGCGTCAGCGTGGGAAGGCTTTGGGGAAGGCTTTGGGGAAGGCTTTGGGGAAGGCTTTGGGGAAGGCTTTGGGGAAGGCTTTGGGAAGGCTTTGGGAAGGCTTTTGGGGAGTCGCCGTGCGCTACGGCGTCCAGGGCAGCCCGGGCTGGGGACAGAGCGTGGAGACAGGGGCTGGTGGTGCTGCCTCGGGGCCGCACAGGTGTCACCCCTTGGCCACCAGCAGTGCCGCCGTCCCCGCGGTGGCACCGCACAGCGCCTCCCCGGCGGGTCCCCAGGCAGAACCGGGCCCCGGAGCCCAACGCCCCCTCCGCCCCCCCCCAAACCCCGTTTCTTCTCGGTTCCTTCGGCCTCGGTCGCAGCGCGGCCGGGAGGCACCGGCCGGCGGTGGCGGTGGCCGTCCGGGCGCGGGGTGGCGATGCCGGAGGGCAGGGCAAGAGGGGAGAGGAGCGGAGCGGAGCGGGGCGAGCTCTCCCCTCCGCGCCTGCTGCGGCTCCGCGGGCGGGCAGCGTGCTGCAGGGAAGGCAGAGAGGTCTGGCTGCTTGAGGGGCTCGGGCTTTGGGCTGAGGCTGCCCTCAGAGAGGAAAAGCAAGGCTGCGGTGTCTGGGGATTCAGTACGTGCACGTCGCCCTCCCCGCTCCTGCAAACCGCGCTCTGACTGGGAGCGTGCACAGGAGCGGAGCCGCGTTTGGTCGCGTTTCTCCTCGTTTCCTCTCCCTGCTCGCGATTAATTATCTCTTGCACTACTTCGGCCCGGGTGTCTCGTTCTCGTTTTGCCTTGCGTTGCGATATTGGGTTTGGAGCCATTTAAATACGAAATAAACAATAGCCTCGAGCGCTGCATTTTTAATTTTGTTCCGTAGGTAACTTTCCTCCTCCCATAGCTAGCCCTGCGCTATGTAGATGCCCTTGGCGTTTTATTCCCGGGCCGGCCCTAAATGTATGGATTACTTGTTTTCTGCCAACCTACATTTAGCATACTGATTATGAACAGGCATACAAAAAGCCTGATAGATCAAAAGCATTTTGTATGGGCAGTTGAACAGGAGGTGAATATATAACGCTTTTGTTCATCAATAACTCTTTGGCTTTGACCTGTCTGAGCAAGTCGTGCAATAAGGTGAAACGCAGGTCACAGCGTCTAACAAATATGAAAATGTGTGGTATTAGGCAGAGCAGGGACTTGCTGCCTCCCCACCCCAGCGCTGCCCCCCGGGCAGCCCTCGGAGGGCTTCTCCTCTCCGGGGGGGCTGCCCCGAAAGCGAGCTGGCTTTGGGGGGGCGGATGCTGCCCGGCCCGCTCGGCAGGGCGGGGGATGCCCCCCCTCCCCCCGGGGGAGGCACCCCCTCCCCTCAGGGAAAGGAGGGGAAACCGGGAAGAGCCGCTAAAATAGCTGGGAGGAGATTGAAACGATCGGGGGGGGCGAGGGGGGAGGAATTAGGGACACGAGGTCGTTTCGAGTTGCACTTGCCGTGGAGATGATCCCACGGCAGTCGTAAGAAAGCAGAAGTTTAAAAATAGCATCCCCCAGATCGGGCAGCTGGGAGCTGCAGCCAGGCAAACAAACCGGTGCAGATCACTGGGACAAACGCAACACCCCCAAATGTGCCCTCCGCAGCGGCTGGATGTATCACACCCGCACCATTATTTGTCCTTATGTTGCCCGTTTGAAATAGTCGAAGGAGAAGAGGTTGACCGCAGGACAGCAGCGAGGAGCTGGGTCAGACACAATTCATGAACTTTTGTACTCCTGTGTGCTGCTGTCGACAAAGTAAAAATAATGAAACTTGGTGATATGTTTGTAAATGATTTCGGCTGACCTCTCGCCCTGCCCTTCACCATAAACGCTACTGCGGGGAGAACCTGGGAGGGTGCGAGGCTGCGGCTCACACGCAGCCGCGGGATAATAGCTAGACCGGCATAATGGGACGAAGGTAAATTTGGAAATTCTCTGCTTCCTGAGAACAGCTCCCTCCAGCCTCTAATCTCGTCTTTTTCACCAATCGCTGTTTCTGTTGTCGTCTGTTTTACTTCTGTTTCGATTTTTTTTTAATCCTTTTTTTTTTTTTTTTTTTTTTTTTTTTTTTTTTTTTTGGGAGGGGGGAGAAGTTCTAATTAGGGAGAATCTGTTCAGATTCGTATTAGACTAAATAGATAAACACTTACTTTCTGTGTGATTTTAACTCTTATTATTCTAAATAGCGCAATTTGACTGGTAGCGTCCGTTTTCTGCAGGAAGGTTGTAAACGGCAAGCATTTAAAGTGCTCAGCAGGTCCTTCTGAGAATTTGTTAGTCGAAATTCGTCGCTATAAATTGGTGCAGAGTCGTAATGATCTATTTCATCAATAATAACAAGCGTGAATCTTTCCTGAAATCCCACCTTCCTGCAAATCCGTATTTCAGATCTCAATCCCAACAGAATAGTTTGCATTCCTCAGAAGACAGTAAGGAATAAGAGAATGGCAATGACCTGCTATATGGTAGATGAAAACAGAATGTTATTACGTTGTCTATATATACCCTGTAGAACCGAATTTGTGTGATATTCATATAGTCACAGATTCGATTCTAGGGGAATATATGGTCGATGCAAAAACTTCACCTTTCTGCAAATGGTTAGAAGTTTAGATACTGACGGAATCAAAAGACGTGTGCATGTTGAACACGGAGAAATTCTAAAACTTTTGCTGCCTCTCTCCTATTTACCAGACTCAGAACGTCTCTTAAAATTTCACTTGTCGTTCAATCGTAACTCTCCCTGGCAGACTGTGAAGTTAAACAGTTAATCTCACAAGAAGTAAAAAAAATCTGAAAAAAAAATCTACCAATCAGTGAATGAATCTTTAAAAATATACTGATATATTAGCTAGACGTGCTAGACGTTAGCGAGTTAGCAAAATTTTCCTGTCAAGTGTCCAGATCTCACCAAAATATTTACGACAGCAGCAAAAGCAGCACTCGACTCACTGAATGTATTTCCTTGTGCTCCAGGAATGATACTGATGAATGAAGACTGAATTTATCTCGTTAAACCTGTGATATTTTTAACCTAATTAAATGCCATCTCCAGTTCAATTGACTGAACTTTGGTGGCTAAAAGTGGACAGTTTCTTGTTATCTGTACGATTTCATATGCACATACGCCCAGATTTTTGTCTAAGCGTGTGCGAGCCTGTGTGCGTGCACACGTATGCACACGTATATATCGAGGCTTGCACAGTGAATGAGAAGTTACTGATTGCCTAATTTTATTCAGCAGAACTAAATTCTGGTAACTTTTGGATGACCTCTGCAAGACAAAGACAGGACAGATCTATTGTACATCATATTACCCTCTTCTTTGATGCCTTTTCTTTTTCTTGCCTTCTTATCAGTTTCCTCCCTTTTAATCGCCCTGCAGCTCCTCGCTCTGCATTTCTTTCGATATTTTATTTTAAGGCACGTAACAAACCCTGGTGGAAATTCTGGCTGGTAAATCAGACGAGAGGGCAGCGGAGGTTAGGAAAGTCAGCCCAGACAAAAGGCTGCCTGTACCTGGGGGTCAGGGAGGCGGCGGCCGCTTGATGAATATTCCTAAAACTCCGGTATCTGATTTGGAGGGTGAAACCTGCCGGAGAGGGGTCACTTGCTTACACGTATATTATTTAGTTAAATTCGTGGAAATTATGAGCTGCACACTAATCCGGTGATCAGCTCCCTGCCTCCCCATTGGCCGGGCCGGTCACATGCACGCCTAACTTTATTCAGTTGACAGCAAGTAGGAGGGCTCTATGGAAGGAGAAAAAAAGACAACACGAGAAAAATTAGTATTTTCTACCTTCAGAAATTAATGGCCATGAGTTCGTATATGGTGAACTCTAAGTATGTGGATCCCAAATTTCCTCCTTGCGAGGAATATTTGCAGAACAGCTACCTAGCCGAGCAGGGGGCCGAGTATTACAGTGCCTCGCAGGGCTCCGATTTCCAGCATCAGGGGCTCTACCCACGGTCAAACTACAGCGAGCAGCCCTTTAGCTGTAGCAATGCCCAAGGCTCCGCCGTGCAGCCACGGGGTCATGGACAGGAGCAATCCGGCCCACCGAGCCACTTCCCCGGTCAAGCAGAGCATTGTCCACCGCCTCCAATGTCCAACTCACGAGCCTGCGGCCAGCAGCCAGCCCTCAAAGCCCCAAACGGGTCAGCAGTTAAGCAGCCAGCAGTAGTTTATCCCTGGATGAAGAAAGTCCATGTTAACTCGGGTAAGGATCCTCTTCTTACTTTGCTCTTCTCCCCCGCTCCCGATTGTCCTCAGAGATGCTTTGCTCGAGTCCTTGCGAGACTCGTGGACGAGGGTTTGAAGCCGAGGTAGCCAATTACACTCGTCATAAATTTTTATTGCCGAGGAAATAGGCCGGTGGCCGTGTGGGGCTTTGCCGAGCAGGAGAAAACTCGGCTGCAGGAGCCGGGCAGAGGCTCGCAGCCCACCTAGCTTGGGGCCGTGGCGCCCGCGCTGCGCACGGGGGAGAGCAGCACGTCCATTGTGAGCTCCTGGGCTGGAGCCAGCCCGGCCACATGCTCGCAGCTCGTGAGGTTTTGTTTTGTAAAAGTCGAACCGGAAAGTCAAGATTAGCTTTGTAAAGTTCTCCGTATTTTTTTCCCAGTGAACCCCAATTACAGCGGAGGGGAACCTAAGCGCTCCCGAACAGCTTACACCAGACAGCAAGTCCTAGAACTGGAAAAAGAATTTCATTTTAACAGGTACCTGACCAGGCGCCGCCGTATCGAGATAGCCCACACTTTGTGTCTCTCTGAGCGCCAGATCAAGATCTGGTTTCAGAACAGAAGAATGAAGTGGAAAAAAGACCACAAACTGCCCAACACTAAGGGCAGGTCTTCCTCCTCTGGTTCAAACCCACATTTACAGACTGTTCCCAAGGACCATCAGACTGACTTGACAACTTTATAGAAGAGGTGAAATTTTCCATTTCATCCTTCGATTCTGACCAGTACTGTACATAACTGACACTATCCAAGCAGAACCTGCATGTAGCAGCTAAGGACTCGAGAAACTGTCATCTTTCTTTAAGGTACTGTTGTACAAAGGAGACAAAGTGACGCTACTTTGGACTTTATTTTATTTGCCTCTGCTAGCACAACCTTAAAAAAAAAAATAAGGAAAAAAAAAAGCATCATGCAGGCAGTGGGAATTGGGAAAATATTAAACGAGACCTTCTGTCCATAAAAAGTAATAAATCATTGAAAATGAAACTGTCCTGTGTTTCAGTTTTGAATTTGAAAGTGAAGGCTTGATGCTTTATTCTGGGATTTTTGCTTTTAATTGTCTTTTGATCCCATGCAATTTCGGGATGATGCATTTGGGCAAGTTGAGGACAGGAAATTTATAGCATAGTCTTTCATTTGAGCATAAAGACTAGTATTTGTGAACTTTTTGTGCTGCTTTACCTTTCTTGGTGTAATGAAAATACTTGCTCATTTCCATAACGTCTCAGAAGATGTGCATAGGAGTTAAGTGAAAACGGGTTATTTTATGCTCTGTTAGTGTTAGCGTATTTATTTATTTGTTACGTAGAAGGGTGACGATAAAAAGAAAAGAAAAAGAGTCAAACCAAAAATGGGAAAGGAGAGATGAAATGCAGGATTTCTCCTTCCCAGTCTCATGAACACATGTATAATGTTTACTTGTCTTGAACGTACACAACTTTCTTTTCCCATTTTTCGAATTTCCTTCTTTGTGACTAGGAAAGCGTCCCTGCTCCTTACCGTGTCCCCTCCAGGGCTAACAGGCTTGAAATCCGTTTCCAAAGCCTGCTCTGCTCAGCGCTGTCCTTTAAACTAGCGGTACCTCATTTAAAAACGAAAAATAAACTAAAAAGAAAACCCCGGAGTGAAAAATCAATGCGATTGCTGGGATTGTCCGAGCCATTCGAAGCTCAAAGCTAAACGCGTTCTTTCTGTCCGATTTTAAATTTATTTGCTGCCCAACAGAGGGACAGGCTGTGTGGGTTGTGTCTTTGTTTGGGGGGAGGGGGTTATATATATATATATTTTTTTTTGGTTGTTTGGTTGTTTAGTTGTTTGGTTTGGTTGGGGGCTTTTTTTTTTTTTTTTTTTTTTTTTTTTTTTTTTTTTTTTTTTTCTCAAGAATAGTGATTGTTTTTAAGCAAACTACAACACATGACTGAAATGATTGGAAACCTCAGCAAGTTAAACCGTGGGTAAGAGAGAAGGTTTGCATGGGAGCAGAGCTGGTCTGATACCCCAGTATTTGTCTACAGCTGCTGCTTGCATCGTGCCAAAGTTGTAGTGCATTGAGCCTGTATTGTAACTATCAAACCCAGCCAAACCAGCTCCCTCAGCCACCTACACCACCACTCCGGCGATTTTAAAGCTCAGCCCTTATCTCCTCTACCCTCAGGGCAGCCTGGGAGAGGGACCATATCATCGACATTTTAACTAGATGATTCCATTATTAAAGGGAAAAGAAGGAAACCTAGGGCAAACGCTGAAGCTGCACTTCTGTAAAGGGAGCTCGAAACAGCAGCGTGTGAGTTAAGTGCCCATCTCTGGGCTGAGTGCTTCCCACTGAGGACTCGCTGCTTTCTGTGCTCACTCGGGATATCACTGGCAAAAATGGGCTTGAATGAATTCGAAAATAAAGGGCGATCTTTTCAAAATGAGGGTATTCGGCAGGATTAACTATGACCAGCGGTTAATTTCTGCCCTTTTCTCATCCCTAGAAGTCCGCGAAGTGTCTTGTAAGACTTGGTCTTTTGTTTTAGAGCCTGGAGAAAACTCTTTGTTCTTTCTTAGGGTTAGCCCAGTTCTCAGACTTGCACATGGCAATACTTGAATATCTCCACGTCGTGATATTAAAGATGGATATTCCTGCATTATTCGCATCATTGTTTCTATGACAAAAAGCACAGAGTTCATACATAGTAAAGACGTCTTTTTTCTGACGCCTTCACGTTGAGAAGCTGAAAAGGTATTTTACTGAAGTTCGGCTAAATTGCAGGAACAGGTTCACCCAGAGGACAAATTTTCTATTCGATTAGTTGTATTTCAGCCGGGAAGAGTGACCTCTAAACCCTTAACCTTTTGGACCCAAACTGCTCTTCCCTTTCTCTGCCATGGAGAGCAGTGAGCAGCGGCGCTTGAGGAGGGAATTCCTTAGACGAGTTTTCAAGTTTTGTTACACCCAGTCCCTGCGGTAGGAGCCTTTCGTCTCCAGAGTTGGCCAAAGACCTCCCTTTACTCTTGGTGTGCATATAGGGAAAGAAAAAAATAAAGGGAGGGGGAACGGGTGTGTGTGTGTGTGAAAACCCTTTCTGGCTGATCTTCGTGAAAATACCCCCCTCTCGGACCCCCACTGCTTACTTAGAGTCTGTGATGAGTTGGCTTGGAGCAGGGCAAACACGTTACTCGGGAGAGAGATGCCAAGTTTGGCCTCTGTGGTACGACTCTGAAAAATAATGTCCTCGGATAAGCAAACCCTGGCTTTGTGCTTCTTATCGACCGAGATCGCTCCCCAAGTTAAAGGGCCCAATTCTGCTCCCAGCTTTCCTTCCCCCGCCCACTGAAGTCAAACAGGGATGTAGCTGCGGGCAGAATTTGTCTCATTGTCTTTTGAAATGTTAATATCTCTAGGACGAGTGTTGGGTTCAGCAGGCACAGCTCTTACAACCCTCTTTGCAAGTCCCCTTTGAGCAAGGCTGGGGCACTGTAAGTTTACATAGTTGTAATTGCGTTGTAAGCCCCGAGAATATGTGAACTAGAGGCAGAAAGGACCAAAATAAATAAATAGTTTCCAGCTGCCCATGCTCTGAAGGGTCAGGAATGTGGGCACTAGTGACCAGGAGCACACACTGGACGCTATCTCCCGTGGAAAACGAACCTGAGATTTCATTTCCATTGTCTTTTAGCCCTCCCCCAGAGTTATTTTGTGCAGGAAGGGGGGCTGTTTGTTTTTGTTTTTCATGGATGAAACGTTGTGTATTGAAGTCTTTGTTAAACAATCGCATTGTCCAGCAACACTCATCTCTGTTAAAGTGTGATGCTTTTTATAGACTTTACCAATGTTTTGCTGCCATCGATTAAAGCGTTATTTATACTATTTGTCGCCTGTAGTTTTGATGTAAGCCCTCCATATACGTTTGAAATAATAAAAGGTGTAGAGAAATAGCTTCTGTTTTGTACCTTGAACAAACAGTCCTTACGAGGCGGGTCTCTTCTGTGGAAATGCTTGGCCCTCCCATCATTACAATGTTAAAAGATGGGTGACTCTGCATAGCATCCTTCCAAATGTCCCTTTGAACAGGTTTGCTGATTGCCCCAGCCATAATGGTGTGACTCTAGGCCAAGCTGGAGTCTATATTTACATTTAGGCTGCAGTTAAAAGTGCCTGTCATCCATTTGCTACTGCTTTGCATTTAACAAGCCCTCCTAGAATGACTCCCGGATTTATGCATGTGTGGTAGGAAGCAAGGAGCCACACCTGAAGTCACCTCGATCCCCACACAGATGTGTGCCTTTTAGGTGAGTCCGGGAAGGAGACAATTAAGAAAGAAATGGCAAGTTGAAATTACATGGCAGCGAGCACCTTTCTCTGAGCAGCAAGTTTCACTTTTTCAGCTGATGCAATAGAAAGATCACACGAAAACACAAACTTGGAGAGTCGAAACTTTCCCATGCACCTAAGGCAAACATCATTTTTTCCAGCCCTGCGTAAGCACCTCAGACAACAATACGTCCCTCTGACTAGCAGAAGTCGATGGCACTATTTTTGTCAGAAGTATTTGTCAGGGGGACTTGTCCTCTCTTGGAGCGTGGTCAAGGCACGAGTCCAAAAATACAGTATCTTGTTCAGATGCTGAAAGGAGCGTAGTGCATAAAACAAGGCAAGTGCCCTCAATGCCTGGAGAGCGGGGGGGCAAGGGGGGGCTGTGTATTCACAAGCACACTCTCACTAAGTTTAAATGCTGAGACACATTTTGTGATTATACTTTCTCTGTGTGCTGTTTAATGGCTCCTCCTGTTACTACCGATACATCAATACAGTTCTGTATATTATATCACCACTAGTCGTTAAGGTAAGAATGAAGAGGAAAGGCAGAGTCAATAGCAAACACCCCTCACTGTACAGTACAGTAAATAGGGACCTCTCAATGCAGAGCCACACAGCCTCCAACGGCCATGTTTGTTAGCCCTTTCCCCTGATTTTTTTTTTTTTTTTTTTTTTTTGCAAGCCTAGAGACCAAAATAATCTTGCTAGGAACAGTCATAACAGGCAGAATTTCAAAGTGCAAGGAAGATGATAAGAATAGATTTCTACAAGTCCTGACCACGTGATTTGCGAAATAATTAATTCAGCACGTCCCTTAAGAAACACGGAGTCGTCATTAATCTGCCAAGCAAAGGACTCTATCAGACTTGAAAACTGAAGAGATCCCAAGAATATAATATACAAAGGGTGCAGTCCTTCTCTCTGCACACCTAGCTCTTTGCTAGCTGCCGAAAAAGAGACGCACGGTATGTAACCATTTTTTTTTTTTTTGTACTTTTATTCCTTCTTATTTAAGCCTTAATGAACTTAGCTGTCAAACGCGTGACAAATAGGGCACGCTGCTTCCTGATTTCCAGCTCGGCAGCGGCCGGGAGCCGGACCGGGCGCAAGCGGTGACCTTTGGTTCCCAGGGAGCGGGGGGAAGCGGAGCGCGGAGCGCCGCGGAGCGCCGAGAGGAGGCTGCCGCGGCCCCGGGCGGCGCCGGCGCTGGCCGCTGCCGCCTGCGCGGGGAGGCGCGGAGAGGCGCGGAGCGCCCCGAGGAACAGCGCGACTGCCAGGGCATCCGCCGCCCGCTCCGAGCCGCGGGGAAAGGCCCCGGACTTCTTCTCAGCCGGGCTTGTAAATCTGGCCCCGCGTCCTGACAGCAGGGCTACCGCGGAGGCTGCGCACCCGCGGAGCCAGCCCCGGGGGCGCCGTGCCCCGCGCTCCGCCGCCGCCCCCAGGCCGGCCCCGCTCCGCTCCCGCGCCCCGCTCCGGCCGGCCGGCCCCGGCCCCGGCCCCGGCCCCGGTCGGTCGGCCCCCGGCCCCGGAGCACGGCCGCGGCCGCCTGCGGGTCCCAATCGATAGCCCGCGCGGAGGAGAATCGGAGGGCACGGTGTTATGGAAAGGCGCTCTCTGTGAAATATGGACCACGAGCCTGAGGTTTCTCTATTAAATCCCAGAGTCAGCTGGAAATACTTTCTGCAAACAGGATATTCTTTATTATCCCTTGCTGGAGTAATTTCTAAAAAACCCTAGATCGTAGCTTTTTATTACTTCCGTTTCGGTGGCAGGACAGAGACAAAGTTTCCTATGTTATGAATTATACATTCAAACAATAACACATTAATTCAATTATTCAAAGATGACAAATGTTTATGTGCTTTGGTAGTGACTAAGGAACAGATTTGCTACTTCACCAGAACTCCTACGTTTTTATCAATGAAGTTTTATATTATCCTGCTGGTCCGGGAAAGAAACCAAACTCCACCAAGGCGCGCAGTAAAATGGACCCGACCATAAATCGAAGCCCTTTCATAAGAGCGTTTATTCCTGCATATAGCCCGGGCTATTTTATCAGTTTGACAATTGCTGGAGTTGTTGTTATAAATCATCATAAGTAATTCCTGAAAGGGTGCGAGGCTGCTGGGGGGCGGGCGGAGACTGTAAATCTTTCTGTTTTATTGCTCTATGAACATATGCTCCGATTGAAGAAGTCTTAGATCCTTTACTGGAGACAAATTCACGCAAAGCTGGAGTCCCACCAGCGCCGAGGATTAACATTTCCTTAATACTTTCTCAGTCCCCTCTGCGATGTCTTAATTCTGGTGGCGAGGGCGCTCCTTTCTTCCTGCCGGCCTCCATTTTTACCTTAAATTTCACCTTTTTTAGCCTCCGAACAGCCACTTTTTCCAGGGCTTTTCGAGCTGCCCCCCGAGGAGGCATTTTCTTCCCCAGCCTCCTCTTGCTCTGGACTCGACCGGAGCCCAACTTTCCCCTCTCAGTGGTGTGTGGGAAGAGAAAGACCTCGTCGTCATCCCAAATGCCCGAAGCCCGGCAGAAGAGCCTTCGGCCGTGTGTGTACACACGCGAGCGTGCACAAGGCATGGGGTGTGCGGGGCTCTGCGTGTGTACACACAGGCGCGGGGGCTCTGCGAAAGTACACAGACGCCGAAATATATGGCTGACGGAAAAGGATATAAAGAACCATTGCCTCTTACTTGAGGCGAGATTTAAGTGCATCATTTCGAAGAAATATAGGATTATAAATCCGAAGCCGTACACAATAATTTACATTGAACTTACGCTTCCATCACCGGACTCCAATCTTTTTATAACTGGTTTGCAAAGTCAGGAAAAGCAATGTAATTTAGATAAATGTTACAATGCACTTACGGTTAGTATTGTAAGGTAATACGTTACTGTCACATCCCCGTGCTTTGGATGGTAATGAAATCATAGCAGATGTTAGATTAGGTGTGGTGTATTTATAGCTACTGATATGTTAGAAAATCAAACAGAGAAGCTAATATATATATATTTTGCCGAACTGGAATTGTTGGGGAGCTTTGTGGGCACACATGACGGATATACACCGGGGTTGCTCTGTGTCTCTACACACACACGGAGAGGGGAGGCAGGCTCAGGGCAGACACACACACGCACAAATGTCATGAGTTCTTTTTTTTTTTTTTTTTTTTTCTTCCCCGACGCTTCTTTAGCCTCCAGACAGGGGTAGTCCCAGCAGCCCAGCATATTTCACGGAACGGAGAAAGAGAAACCCAAAAACCCGCGCTCTCCGGTCGGCCCGGGCGCCTTGCCGCCGGAGCAGCGCTGCTGCCGAGCTGCCCGGGGCTCAGGCGGTGGGGTGCAGCCGGTTCCCAATTCCTCCTCTCGCTCCACTCCCTGGCCGTACCCGGCGGAGTTCACCTCTTCCCCGGCGCTCGGGCGGGCGCGGAGCGGCCCCGCCAGCTCCGCGGGGCGCGTAAGTGCGGGAGCCGGCCGGCGCGGTGCGGTGCGGGGCGGTGCGGAGCGGCCGGGGAGCGGGGCGCGGGGCGCGGGGGTGTCGCCGCCCCCGGTCCCGTCTGGGCAGCCCCGCTGCGAGGGGGCGAGGGGAGCGGGCCAGCCTCAGCCCCGGCGAGCTGCTCCCGCGATCACGTGGGCGAATGTGGCTGGATTTTAGGGCAGTGCCTATATTTCTGGTCAGAAAGGGGGTTCTCCTGCTCTTCCCCCAAATTCATCCATGGCCGCACGATTTAAAAACAAAACAAAACGAGAGCCGGCCAGTTTCCGCCTTTGATTCCAGGAGGCTGATGGCTAAAGGGTTGTGTGTTGATTTTTTTTTTTTTCCTAAACCCCAACAAATTCCGATTTCCACTCGCTCTCTTTTATTGGTAGTTGAGCCTGTGCCTGTTTTCGTTCTATCGGGAATTATGGTGTGTGGAAATGTCTGTAAAACCGCAAGATCAGGTTTAGGACAGTATTGTCTGCAGACAAAGGGTGAAGGATATATTCTAAGAGCTGCAAGCACAGATCCTGAAAAGTGAGGAGCCCAGGTTTATGATAAATTGACACACAGGTAAGCAACTGCATGACAAAATGGGACCTTTAACCACAGGGGCTGCATTATCGCCTTTACTCAGGGACTGTCTGGAATTTGTTTGTAATCTCTGCCCACGACGGCTGCAAATGCATGAAGTAATCTCCACCTCCTTGTGCGTTTTAAGCTGTATCTCCTTTTTATTATGCCGTTTGAATAAAAAGCGAACTCCTTCCCAAAGGCTAGGAGAAAAGGTTTATCTCTCTCCTATCCCCATTTTCCGTAGTTTCAGGAAGGGAATTACAAATAACCAAAAAATTAAATAAATAAAAAAAAAAAGAGGGGGAGACAACTTTGCTGGACGCTCCCATCGCCAAAGTAAGATTGAGCATCCCATTAATTCGTTGCCGTGGGTAGCCGGGCAGGGGGTAGCCGTGTGGATTTGCACAGTGCGATTTGAAATAGGCTCATAGGTAATGGAGCCTCTACGTTTGGTGTCTTAAATACTCATGCCGAGCGCCTTCTCGTGCCTTCTCCCCTCTCCGTGCTCCTCGGGGCCGCTGCTCTCCTCCTCCGGTGTGGTGGTGCCGCCGTTGCCACTGCTCTCACGCCTCCGAGCCGCACGGGCTGGGGAGGCTCGCTGTGATATTTGTCTCCCGAGAAGTTCGTGGCCGTGCGCTGGGGCGGTGTGATCAATGCGGTGCCAGAAGGGTGCCCGAGGCTGACCTGGGGCGGCCGCGGGGCTGCAGCCGCTGCAAAGGGCCCCGCAGCCTCCTCGCGTGCACCCGCGGCTCAGCTCCCTCCTGGGCTGCTTTCGGCTCCCAGGAGCGGCCGTCTCTACCCCGGGGCCTTCCCGAAGCCCGGCCGAGCTCTCGGGCAGTGTGTTTTGGGGGAAACCCCTGGAAAAGCTCGCTTTGTGGCGGCGAGCAGCGGCGGGGGTCAGGCTGCGCCAGGTCCCACCCGCCCCGAGCCACCCGGGCGAGTCCTCCTCGGGGGCAGCCGCAGCAGGGCGATGGGGCCAGGGGACAAAGTTGGGGGGGGTCTTTCTCCTCTCTCTCTCTCTCTTTTTTTTTTTTTTTTTCTCTGTTGCGTCTTGCTCTGCTCGATCAGAAGTTAAAGGCAGTGAACATTTTTCTTAGCTGTATGCCTCCAAGCTGCTGGCCTGCCAAGTTAGTCAGCTGAATCCAATTACTGCAAGCAGCATTTCATTTGGCTCGATGGAAGCACTCACTTATAACTTCACCTAAAATTTCAATAATACCTTTATTGGGCCCACGCCTGAATAATTCTAAAGATTTCCCTGGTTTGAGCTCTGGCAACTTCTTCTCCGCAGTCGGCTCGGTTGGAGCAGAGCTCAAGCCCGGCGAGCCCGAGACTCCCCTCTTCGCAGCGCAAACTTTGCAGGTTCTCCTTCTGGCCGTGGAAATCTATGTATTTGCCCAACCTGTCGCCAAGTAAAGCATGTCCAGAGCAAGGAGGCTATTGCTTGTGAGGCTGCTTCGAAAAGGGAAGAGAAGTCGATAATTAATTAGACGCAAGACGAAAACTTACCACGTTTAGCAACAGCGGGTAACAATGACTTGGTGTGCAGTGTTACACTCTCTCCGCTCAGGGGCTAAGGTGCAACCCAACTTACGCTTTCTTTTCTTCCTGCACGCCGTAAAGTGCTATTTCTAATGATCTCTGTTAAAAAAAATAAAGCACTTAAAGTTGACGTACGCCCACGTGCATATATTATATAAGACGTTACCGGGACAGGCCCGGGCCAGGAACCTGAGCGAGCACCGTGTGTAATCATGAAGCTCCACTTCCCTAACTCCAGTTTGCCAGCATAAATTAAGGTGATTTGGAAGGGGAATGCCGCATCCTACTGGGTTTGGGTAGGGAGAGAGAAGACTTGGTGGAAAGTTGTAATGTCTGTTGTGTTGTGAGCTATTGGAGGCGCTTCCGTTGGTTGTTCATTAAGTGGTGAGTTATTGCTATACAAGCCAAAGGTCATTTCAAAGGCTTATGGCTGCTAGATATCGTCTTTATAATGACCTGGGCTTCTTTGTGGGGGATTTTCTGGCACTCTTAAGTTCTTAAAGTCCTGACTCGACACATTACACGATCAGATGCAAAATGCGCGTTTCGAGCCACAAACGTTTGCGGTGTATTTTCAGAGTCGGGGTCTCTTCGCTTCTCTTTCTCTCAGTCTCAGCCGGTGGATGGGGAGCCGGGGGGGGTGGAGAAGGACCCGCGCCAGCCCCGCAGGAGCGGAGCCCTCCACCGAGCGGGGGCTGCCCGCGGCTCCTGGGCGCTGGGGCCCCGGCTCGGACCCCGCCGGCTCCCCTCGGCCTCGCTGCGGTGGAGGCGGCGGCTCTCCGGGGGTATTTTGCTCTTTTCTTCGCTCCCCGCCTCTCCCAAAGCGTTATTAATAAATGAAGAGAAGCGTCTGCCCTTTGTCTGCTAAAAGATCTGACGTGGACTTAGAGACACGGTGAGGGGCTGCGGACAAGACGTGCATTTATTAACAAAGTCCTAAGGAAGAAAGTCCAAAACAAACCAGCTTCCGCTGAGAGTTCTCAATTTTGTTGCAGGTCCGTGCCCAAGGATTATCCCAAGGAACCTGAAGATCCTACACACACTGTTAAAGTCAAAATTCAAGAAAAAACATAAGTGTGGTGAGTTCTCTAAATTTCCTTTTCCGTCCGTCTCCCGCTGTCCCCGGCCCGACGGCCCCTCCGGAGGGAGCAGAGCCGCCGGGGAGCGGGGCCGGGGCTGCAGGCTCCCGGGGCTGTCGCTGCATGGAGGCCGAGGAGCAGCAGTCCCTGGGAAGCCCCGCCGGGACACGCAGCTCGCTGCCGGACCCGGCTGGGGAACAGCCACAGTCTGGGCCCAGCCTTGGGAAGAAGGGGGGCTCCCCGGGGGGCTCCGGACCTGCTTTAAAGCCCCGCCAGAGCCGGAGCCGGCCCTCCCCTGCCCTCGCTCCCCCGGCCCCCCGAAAGGCAGGGAGCCCCCGCTCGGCTCGGCCGGGTCCCCGGCAGCCGGTGGGTGCCCGTCCCGGCAGCCGCCCGGTTCCCTGCCCGCGGGCCGGCCGCGGCCGCCGGCGGCCCCAGCGCTCCCCTTATATACGGGGCTCCCTCCGGGCCGCCGGCCGGGAAATGTGCCGAGTGGGGAATTCTTTTGCCGGGCTCCCTCCTACGCGCAGGCTGCTTTGCACTTCTGAAAGTGCTGGGGCTTGGGAAGTGTTTTCCTTTTCATTCCTGGCCGGAGCGTTTACTGCCACAGCACTCGCGGTCATAAATTTTGCTACAAACCGCAATGACAGGTGCATTGATATGCGCCCTGAGAGCTCCGGCTGCCTTAATAACCGCTCCACAGGCCGCTCTCGCCGCCTTTTATTTATTCGGTATCATATGAGATATTGATCCTCGGCAGAATTAAGTGTAGTGGAAGTTTTAGGAGAGAACTGCTTAATATGGAAGTGCCGGGGCGCAGCTGGCCGCGGGCCCTGCGCGGGTCTCCGCGGGTGCGGAGCGCGGGGCTCGGGCTGCGGGTGCTGAGCCCCCGCGGCGGGGGCACCTCAAAGGCGCTGAGACCAGCGGCGGGACAAAGAGCCCCATTATCATGTGTAACGCCGAGCGGTTCAGCTGAGGTTAACCTTTCTGGAGAGGAGGAAGGGAAATTCGAAACACAGACATGGATACTTTGCGGTTTCCTAACCTCAGTGCCTCCGAGCCCACCTCCCACGGATCGGCCTCGCCATTTGGATGTCACCTTTTTTTCCTGGAGGCTGTTTCTGGCCAAACCACCAAGTGTCGAGCCCCTGCTTTGGTGTTCCCTACAAAAACATCACCCTGGGCCTTGCACTCGTGGAAAATCAAAACCTAGAAAGGTCTCTCTCTTCCTCTTTCTCTCCCTCTCTCTCTTTTTAAGATCTAAAGATGAGCCACCAAACAGTTGAGCATTGTCCATGTGATTTATGGCCCATAGCCTCCTTTTTAGGTTCAAGCAGAGTTCACAAGCAGTTGGTATTTCAGAAAAGAAATAAGGCTTTTAACAGCTTAACAGCAATATTCTTTCTTAAGATTCTGCGTATTCTTTTGGGAACTATATTTTACGAGGCACATAAAAGCATACGCTCAAGGCAGTGTTGTGCTAACAAAAGTCCTCAGTCCAGACTGCTCCCGAAAATGTAGATGATAGAAGTGGAAAATGAGCGACAGAATTATTTTGCAGAAAAATACTTTCAAGGCTCGTCCAGATTATAGTAGTTTATTAAAACTCATCTGAATCCCCACTCTTCGTTCCCTTAGACATCCTTTTACTAAAACTTTCCAGGAGACTAGAACAGCTCCTTTCCCATTCTTATCTGCTTCCCAGATGATCCCACGCTTTTGTTCTGGGAAGAAAAGGACGGCGGCGGTTTGTGACCGGGGATAAACTGTCGAGAGCGGCTGAGGGCTGCAGCTCTCCCCGTACAGACGTGTATGGCGGTGAATTTTAGGGAATTTTTAGGTACTTAACTATACCATTTACTACGGGAGAAAGAGTAGTGCTATTGTAATGTTGCCTAATACGGGCTGGAGAATGGTAATTTTCAGACACTGTTCAAAATTTTTGAGCTACTTTTCTCTGGCATGTTAATAGGTCTGAACCTTGAAGAAAGGTACGGTGAGGTTCAGACTTATACAGTCAGCTGAAGTATGTGCTAATCTTTAAAATTACTGAAAATGTGAGAGGCAAACACAACCCGACAAGGAAAATACCACGTAAAATTGAGAACAGGGAATACTAAAAAGCTGTAGCCAGATTGCGGGCGAGTTTCTGTCCTGCAGCAAGAGAGAAGTCCCGGGTGCGACCAGGGGAAAGGCAGCGCCCTGCCGCAAAACTGGGACCTCCGGGGACCTCTCATCCTCGGACATTTCCAGGCTGGGCGGCTTGATCGGGGGGCGGGGAGGGGAGCGCCATGAGTTTGCAGGCCAGTAAAAGAAGAGATCATACAATCAGCGTTTATAATGAAAACCATCCCTTAAAAACCATCACCAGTGTCTCAGGTTCTTTCTGATGGGGACAAATGAAAGGGATGAGAAACGTCGGGTGAGTGATTTTAATTCATCACTGAATTAAAATAGGGGAGCTGACCTGCGACATCCTTTATAGTGCAAAGCGAAGTTAGTGAATGGCGTCGGTTATACTTTAACTCCGGAGGAATCCGGGGCAAGAAGGAGGCCGGGTGTACAAAGGCGATGGGATTTTTCTGCCTTCGCCCGGCCGCAGCCCGGCTCAATCCATCATGTCAGCCGTGCGCGGCCGTGCGCACGCGTGCCGGCGGGCGGCTGTGGGGGATGCCCGCGGGATCTCTGCCCAAATGGCTCCGGGGGGGCTCTGGGGACAGCACCCACCCGTGGCCGGGCCCCTGACGTGGTTGCGGAGCGGGGCGTCCCCGGGCAGTGGAGCGGGGCTGGCCCCGCGGTGCTCTCTGGGAGCCTTTGCCAGATTCCCGAGGAAACGGCCCAAAGACCAAGCAAAACATAACAAGCAAACAAACCAACAAGAACCCCAGGTCCTCAAAGACCCCGAGAAAGCTGTCTCTAGGAAGCCCCAACAATGCGCTCCTGCTCCTCCGCAGTGCTGTCCTTCTTGGGTAGCTTCTGCCCTGGGGTCCCCTGGGCCTTCCAGAGCGTGCCCTGGTGGCTCTGCCCCTTCCCTGGTGCTCCCTGCTTCCCCCTGGTGACTCTGGTCCTTCTCTGGTGTCTTCTGCTTCTTCTCTGGTGTCCCCTGCTCCTTCCTTGATGTCCCTGCTCCTTCTCTGGTGTTCTCTGTTCCTTCCATGATGTTCCCTCCTCCTTCCATGACGTCTCCTGCTCCTTCCTGGATGTTCCCTGTTCTTCCATGGTGTCCCCTGCTCCTTCCCCGGTGTCTCCTGCTCCTTCCATGGTGTCCCCTGCTCCGTGTCCCCTGATCCTATCATGGTGTCACCTGTCCCCACTCCTGCTGTCCCCGCTCCCCCTGTCCCACTGAGGCCGGGGACTCGGGGATGCGGGATGTGCTGGGGCCAGGCCGACCTCTCCCAGGCAGGCGCCCACCACTGAAGGTCTCTTTTGTGTCTCCGCTGTCCCCCTCCCCAGGTGGCTCCCGCGGCGGCGAGTGGCCCAGGCCGACGACGTGAGGCGCGGGGAGGCAGTCAATGATATTTGAGCAGGGGCCGCGGGCCTTGGCGATCGCAGAGCGCAAGATGCAGAAAGCCGCCTACTACGACAACGCGGGGCTCTTCGGGGGCTACACGTACAGCAAGGCCGACGCCTACCCCTACGGCGCTGCCCACCAGCCCTACGGCCCGGCCGGCCTGGACGGCGAGTACCCCGCCTCCGCCTGCTCCGTCCAGGGCTCGGCACCCGGCCGCGGCCCGGCGCACAAGGGCAGCGAGCTGAACGGCAGCTGCATGAGGACGGCGGGGGGCGGCCCCGGGGGCAGCCAGCCCCCGGGCATGGGCGAGCAGCAGCCCCCCGCGCTGCCGCCCTCCTCCCCGCCCAACCCTCCCAGCGCGCCCCCTCCGAAGAAAGCCAAGGGGGGGCCCAACTCCTCGGGCTCCTCCACAGCCACCCTCAGCAAGCAGATATTCCCCTGGATGAAGGAGTCCCGGCAGAACTCCAAGCAGAAAAGCACCTGCCCCCCCTCAGGTAGCCGCCCCACACCCGCCCCTCATATCCCCCCCCGTCCCGATGCCCGCCCCTGCCCTGTCCCGGGGGCACAGCCTGGGAGCCGGCCCCCGCCTTCCTCCGGCTGTCGGCTCGGGGGTCCCGGCCCTGGGGGGGTGGGGGCGGCTTGGTGGCTCCTGTCTCGCTCCCCCCGCAAGCCCAGGAGCGGCGGGAGCGGACCACGAAGGGCCTGGACGGGCTCTGGAGGGAGGCAGCGGGGAGGAGGGGGGGCGCCGTCGGGGGGTGGTGACGGTGGGGGGAGTGTGTGTGGGGGGAGGCCGCCCCCGGGTCCCCTGCGGAGCGGGAGGGGGCGGGGGGCTCCGGGGGACCCCAGGGGGCTTTCGGGGGGGACCAACGGCTCTCGGCGCCTCTTCCCCGCAGGAGAGAGCTGCGAGGACAAGAGCCCCCCCGGACCGGCCTCCAAGCGGGTGCGCACAGCCTACACCAGCGCGCAGCTGGTGGAGCTGGAGAAGGAGTTCCACTTCAACCGCTACCTGTGCCGGCCGCGCCGGGTGGAGATGGCCAACCTGCTGAACCTGACCGAGCGGCAGATCAAGATCTGGTTCCAGAACCGCAGGATGAAGTACAAAAAGGACCAGAAAGCCAAAGGGATCATGCACTCCCCCGTGGGGCAGTCCCCGGACCGCAGCCCTCCCCTGAGCGGCCCGAACCACGTCGGCTACTCCAGCCAGCTCCCCGGTGTCAACAGCCTCAGCTACGACACCCCCTCGCCCACCTCCTTCGCCAAGTCCCAGCAGAGCATGTACGGGCTGGCCGCCTACACGGCGCCGCTGAGCAGCTGCCTGCCGCAGCAGAAGCGCTACGCGGGCGCGGAGTACGATCCGCACCCCCTGCAGAGCAGCGGCGGCTTCGCCAACCCCGGCCTGCAGGGCAGCCCCGTCTACGTCGGGGGTAACTTCGTGGACTCGATGCCGGCCTCGGGCCCCATGTTCAACCTGGGGCACCTGCAGCACCCCTCCTCCGCCAGCGTGGACTACAGCTGCGCCGCGCAGATCCCCGGCAGCCACCACCACGGACCTTGCGACCCCCACCCCACCTACACGGACCTCTCCTCTCACCACACGTCTCAGGGACGGATGCAGGAGGCGCCCAAGCTCACGCATCTGTAGCGGGCCGGGAGCGAGCGGAGCGGGCTCGCCTCTGATTACCTCACTTTTCGGACGTGACCGTGTTGCCGGTGCCAGCAGTATTAGCGGATTTGCCTCCCCTAAGAGCCACCACCCTCCTTCCCCGCAGCCCCGAGTAGGTCCGTGAGCAGGAGCCGTCCTTTTCTAGCTGTTGTAAGCATGACAGTGCAATATACTGCAAACCAAGGGACTAATAAGCTGGTAATGATGTACTTGAAGGTAAGTCTTAGAGATCCATTAGTGTTAGCAGCGCGTCATGCTGAGGTGTTGTAGACCAGTTGTGAGCGGTGGGAACTTGCCCGCGTGTGAGTTTATTTCAGAGAAGTTAATTTATGAATTCTTCCGTAACGTGAGGAT